CTACCTCCGCCTCCTCCTCCTCCTCCTCCTCCCTCCTCCTCCTCCTCCTCCTCGCCTCCTCCTCCTCCTCATCCTCCTCCCTCCTCCTTCTCCTCCTCCCCTCCCTCCCCCTCTCCTCCTCCCTCCTCCTCCCTCCTCCTCCTCCTCCTCCTCTCCCGCCTCCTCCTCCTCCCCTTCCTCCTCCTCCTCCGCCTCCTCCTCCTCCCTACTCCTCCTCCCTCCGTCCGCAACCTCCTCCTCCTCCTCCTCCTCCTCCTCCTCCTCCTCCTTCTCCTCCCCTTCCTTCTGCGCAGCATTCCAGTCTCCCTCCTTACAGGGCGTGGCATCCTCCAAAGAGAAAGGAAGTTCGAGAGGCCCCCCCTGGCGGCACCACGTTTGGACGTCCAAGCGGAACTCGTAAAGGTCATTCAGCCGCTCCTGCCCGCTGTAACCCCCGAAAAGGAACAGCGAGTTCGCGTAAACCTGCGGCGACACCGGGGGTGAGATTGCAAGGAGGACGGGCTGAGCGTACGGACATGTGACGTCTGCCCGCGGCGGCTCATCCATGCAACAGGATTCACCACCCTCCGAGACATGTTCCTGGAAAACTGAGTAGTGGCACGGGCGTGCTCGAAATAAAGCAAAGAGTGCCATGCCATCTTCTCCTCATCACCCTGCTCCTGCAAGTCGGCATGATGGTAATAGTCCTCCCAACACATCTCCACCTCGATCTTTTCCTCCTCCTCCTCCTCCTCCTCCTCCTCCTCGTCATCCTCTTCTGTTTACCATCCTGTCGACTTTTTAATTCACAATATATAATGTACATTAGCTGCCGACTGGTTCGACCTAGTAAGTTCGGCATACGTTTCCCCACCCAGCAGTCATGCTCTGCGACCACTAAGACTGAATGGGTTCGCTACTCCTCAGTGCCATCACCAGAATTGTCATAGACACCTTCAAATTCACTATCATCATCAGCCGAACGAACAACAAATACCACCCGTATCATTCCTCTCCTTCATCATCATCCCCCTTCCTTCCTCCTCCTCCTCCTCCTCCTCCTCCTCCTCCTCCTCATCATCATCATCATCATCATCATCATCAGCATCATCATCAACATCATCAATATCATCAGAATTCTCATCATAATCAGCATCAGCATCAACATCATCATTAGCATCCTCCTCCTCCTCATCATCATCAGCAGCAGCATAATGATCAGCAGCATTATCCTCCTCCTCATCACGTTCCTTCTCAATCTCCCTTGCCCCATCCATTGAAATACGTATTACGTCCTCCTCCTCCTCCTCCTCCTCCTCCTCCTCCTCTTCCTTCTCCTCCTCCACTTCCTCCCCCTCCTCCTCGCCATCGTCGACCTGCTCATCCTCATCCCTCGCCCTCATCATCGCCCCGATGCAGCGCCCCACCGTCTCGTCGCTCCCGGTCCTCCCCTCCCCGTCCTCCAGCTCCTCCCCCCCCCCCTCTCGTCGTGACCACGATCAGCACCAATCCTTGCTCTCTCTCTCTCTCTCTCTCTCCCTCAAAGCGCCCTCCTCTAGAGGCCTCCTAGATGGGGTCGGAGTAGACGGGGTCGGAGGATCGCGCCACGTCGCTGATACATCGGCGATGCATCGGCGATGTATCGGCGATGCATCGGCGATGCACCAGCGACGCATCGGCGACGTGGGCGATGAATCGGCGACGTCGGCGTGAAGCAAATCGGGCTCCGCATTGAGCCATATCGGCGATGCGTCAGCGATGCAGCGTGATCCTCCCACCCCATCTACTCATCTACTCCGACCCCATCTAGGAGTCTTAGATTGGGGGGCGGAAAGATACGGATACGTGTTGTCCCCGGACCTCTCTTGGGGTGCGTTCTGACCAGAATTTCGAGGCGAATCCAGCGGTGACAACGAGGATTCCCCAGGAGGACCAGGAAAGGCCGAAAACGAGGGGGGACAACACGTATCCGAATCTTTTTCTCCCCCGATTAGATCCTCCCCCTACCCCTCGTCCTGCCCCCCTCGCCTCCGACGACGCCGGGGGAGCGCGAGGCGGCGGCCGGCGCGGCGCACCACGCTGGCGTGGAAGTAGCGCGGGGACGGCACCTGCCCCGCCGAGCGCACCGAGGACCACGTCCTGGGCGGCTGGCCGGGGGGGGGGGAGGGGGCGGGAGGAGGAGAGCGGGAGGAGAGGAGCACGGGAGGACTCGGGGGGGGGGGATGGGGGGGGGGAGGGGGAGGGGGAGGGGAGGAGGGATGAGGGAAGAGAGGAGGGGAGAGGAGAGGAGGCGGAGGAGGAGGAGGAGGAGGGGCCAGGGGGTGGGGCCCAGAGACCCGGGGCGGAAGGAGAAACTACGCATTCTGCCTCTCGGGCCAGCGGCATTGTTCTCTACATCACCTACCATCTCTCTCTCTCTCTCCTCCCTTCTCCTTCCTCCTTGTTGTCACCCTTGCTCATCTCCCCTCCTCCTCCTCCTCCTCCTCCTCCTTGTCCTCCTCTTCCTCCTCCTCCTCCGCCT